TTGACATTCTTCAGCCTCCTTGTTGTACGCCGAGCATGCTGCATCTCAACACCTACAAATAGAGAAATACATTAGTCAAATAGAGAAATACACACACCTTTCAGCCAATATGACAAACATCAAATATTTAAAATGCACCTGTAGATTTCATTGCTTGTAAATCTCTTTGGTCAGGATTCACATCTCCATCATGGTCATGGTCATTATCACTAGAACTACTGTCCCCTGACTCTGCATATACAGGGCTACCATCAATTTCGCTGTCCGTGTCATCACCACTTGCAAACTCGTCCTCTTCCACAGCCATTGCTTTCCCCTTCCTCTTCCTGCTGTTAGGCCCATCTCCAGGATTCTTTCTCTTTGTTGCCCATGTATTAATGGGCTCATCAAGTAACCTCTCGCCAGACATGTCGATGCGGACAGCGTCTGTTGGGATACGCGTAGGCTACGATAGCATAAATCAAAAATTTCTATCGCGTAAACCAAGAACCATGCAAGTATTAGATCATAGATCGTTACCGCTCGACGCGCTGCGCAGCGGAAGAAGACGCTGAGAAGTCGAAAGAACTCTCGCGAAGTAGCGCGCGTCGATGTAGAGGAAGTAGTCGATCGCACCGGCTCGACCTTCTCCTCCTCCTGCGTTCTCCTCGCCGTACTCCTACGACGATCAGCACCGCAAACCAGTGGCGCCTCTACCGGTATCCACACGTACAGGGACGGAACGCCACGCACAGATGTGCTAGCACCCGCGCGCGGCTAGGGTTTTGCTCGGGGAGGGAAGTGACGGCTAGGGTTTCTCACGTGATGCAATACCTCCGCCGGTCACACCCCTCACGAATATATAGGATCCATCACTCGGGCCTCCAAAGCCCGTAGGACTCCTATTCGGATCCTTATCTGCATTAAGCTCATATTGGATCTCTATCCAATCCCCTTATTCCAGCCCATTAAGCGTGCGACCCTGTAGGTTCATATATACTCGGCTGTAACCCGAAAACTCATTTTCGGTCCACGCGTCAACAGCGGCCCCTAGCAGAACGTATTGACCCACCAGGCATATATAAAGATCATATCGGCTGAACCTCTAGTGTATACTTGTATAAACCCCTTTGCCTCACGATATCGATTAAGCTCAAGGCTAGATATGTGCCATCCTCTAATAGCTCAATCATTCACTCGAACCTGTTGATAGATTATATAACTTGTGATTGACTCCTCAATCACCTTTGGCATGGCCATGCACTTCCATAATCTACAACATCGAGGGGCCCAGAGATATCTCTCCATAGGAGGGGCAAATCCCATCTTGATTATTCATATCCCACTACATGTTTCATAGCATACCCGAAAACTACTTTTATAACTATCCAATTACGGAGTAGCGTTTAGCAGTCCCTAAGTAAGCTACTACGCATGTTGGGAACCATGATAATCTCAGGTCTAAGGATTCAACACCAACACTAAATGAGATCACTGATGACACAACACATATGGCTCTTGCATTGTCTCATGTTGGGTCTATCCAACAACATGTTCACCAACATGTGTCCACATTATTAATTTGGTATCTCTATACCATGATCCATGAGACATGATCATCAATTAATACATGTGCTGATCATATAAACATATTTGTTCCACATATGATATTTGATCAGGGATCCTTTAGAAATAGTAACAAACAACATAAAGAGTCTCATGAAAGAATCACATATTCATTAACCAATAAGGAGTTATCTATTTCAAGGAACAATGTCGGATAAATATGTAAACATAGTATGTGATACAATCATCTCTATGATTGCCTCTAGGGCATATCACTAACAGCGTCAATTTCGGAAATTTCGAACCGAAATTTCAAACCCTGCCACCTTCTCTTTTCTTGTTCTCTTTTGTTCTTTTCTCGTCCTCCAAGCTTGCGCACCATAGCTAGGTTGGGAGGCAGTGGATGGCGCGGAATCTCGGGCGGTGTCCGAAAGGCGCTCATTCGGCGGTGGAGTGGCCAAGCGTAGCGACCGCCTTGACAGTATGGGGAGGCGGTAGAGCTGCGGTGGCATCATAAAGTTGGCAAAGGCGTTGGGTCTTGGGAAGGTAGAGGCGATGGGGTGCTCGGAGGATGATGCACGTGTCAAGGACAGCCGGCGGAGGGTGGCCATGGTGGCGGAGTACGTGTGGAGGCCGTTCTGGCCGAGCGCAACGGCGCCACTAGAGAGAAGGGAGAGGGCGGAGGCAAATGGAGCGGCTCTAGTGCTATTGGTGAGCTCAAGAAAGGTAGAAATGGAGAGGATTGTGTGGAGGATGGCCAAAGGCATGAAATCGAGGCCGTAGGCCACGGCGGTTCGATTTGGGCGTCCCTCTAGCCACGGGAGGGGAAGAGAGGGAAGGGGAAAGAGATGGCTACTGACATATGGGGCCCACGTGGGTTCCACACTGACTCAGCATAGCTGAGCATAGTCAAAGCGTCACATCAAACAAAACAGGGAGCCATCCTGTCTTAGGGTGAAAGTTGGTGTGGTTTTAAAAGTTCGAGAACGGATTATACCTAGTATTACGGTTCAGGGACAGATTTTGAACTCGACGACACCCAAAGTGATCCAAAAAAAAAAGAGGGGTTGCGCTTAGGCTTTAGTATAGGTAAGGTGGGCTAGGCCCACCAGAAAATTAGAGTTCGGAAAGAATATTTCCTCAAAAGAGTATTTTGTTTCATATTCGAATTTAGTTGACACTGTCATAAAAAAATAAAATTCGAGAAGACCCAGCATGATGCAAACTTTTGAAAAAAAAAATAAGATTGAGATTTTTAGTCGTTGAATTTAATTTCCAAAATTTAGGATCCCCATTAAAGTGGATAAAATTAATGAGTGCCTCACACATAATTTACAATGTATAATAACTCTATACTGTTCCTTTTTTCAATCAATCTTGAGCATATATCTCATTCTTGTGAAACATATATTTTTTTATTGTTTGTTTTGAATTATTAAATATTACCGTAGCGGTAGCACGTGCATTTAGTATAATGTGTCAATTAATTTCTAACTGTACAAAGTTTGTTAGAATTATTCACATGTTCTAAGGAGATTCTTGAAAGGTCTCCAATTAGTATAATAAAAGAATGTCATATATATATATATATATACTCTTAAATAAATATATTCCTAGATAATTGTCAATATGTAATGTATTAATTTACTGCCGATATAACGCGGAGACGTTAGGAATTTTTTTTATTTATACATTTTTTTATAAAAATATTTACAAAAATAATTTTTTGTTTCGAAAATTTACAAATCTAATTGCCTGCCGCCCTCTAGAAGGGCGATTTTTAAAAATCGCCCTCTCCAAGGGCGGCAAGGGACCTAAATACAAAATTTTTATTTGTGTTCAAACCCTTCCCACCGGTTTTAATTGCTTAAAAACTAATAATGCTTATTCGATACTCCAAATGATTTTAAATGGAAAAGTGATATCATCAAGATCTACAACTTTTATATAAAGTTTATCTCCATCCAATGTCGTTTGAAATGTAGATCTGAGATTTTTTAAAATGTGTTTTATATTTTATAACGAATATTTGGACATCTTAAATGAAAAAGTTATTAACTACAAAATTGTAGATCTCCTTGAGCTCTACACTTTTGATATAAAGTTTTATTTCATCTGACTTTATATAATATAATTTTAAATTGTAAAATCATAGAGCTAACAAGTTATGCTGGAAAATTTACATTTAGGTCCCTTGCCGCCCTGTGGAAGGGCGATTTTTAAAAATCGCCCTCCCAAAGAGCGGCAGGCGATTAGATTTGTAAATTTTCAAAACAACAAATTATTTTTGTAAATATTTTAATAAAAAAAAGTATAAATAAAAAAAATTCGTTAGAGAACGACCAAATACCGGAAGCATTAGCCCACCATCACATCTAGCAACCATTTTCCTTTTTTTGGTGCAGATAGAGATAGTAGATTATCATTAACATGGTAATTAGAATGTAAATGAGCTATGCTTAATTACGTCTAGTGTTAGTAACAAGCAGAAATATTTACCAATAACTTGTAATGTATATAGTCTTTTTTTTATTTTTCCCTTGATCGTGGACAGGTAGTCAAAACTCAGCAGACAACAGATACGCAATACCATTATCTAAAAAAACAGATACGCAATAGCTTGAAGAAAGATCTGAAATATCGGGCAATCTTGTATCTACAGTTTGAGTCCTGTAGTATTGGGAATGGAGGTTAAACTCTCCATCTTGTTTGCATATCATAAAAAAGTTTAAGAAATGAGAAGATACTATGTGATATATCACTCCATAAACATACAAATTAAAATTCAATTTCTGCAAGTTAGAAAAAACAAATTAAACTATAGCTAATTATCGTATATGCAGTCATATTTTTTGTTACACATGTAGAAGTTAACTTATGCAAGAACCTTGCATGTTTGTGGAGTGAAGTATTACATATTAATCTATCTTGTTGATTTTTTTCAATATTTTTTATAATCGTTTAAATGACATGCAAACAACGAGAGGAGATGTCCCCTCGAGAGTTTGATGACATGAGTAACAACCGAATATAGTTTCCCTGTAGTATTAGAAAACAAAAACTGGAAGGTGAATATGACATGAATAAAGACATGAGTAACAACAGAATATAGTTTCCCTGTAGTATTAGAAAACAAAAACTGGAAGGTGAATATGACATGAATAAAAACAGAAAGTGTGTGTTGTGAGTAGTGACACAGCCTGACTGACAGGTAATATGAACCGGTGTGTCATGGAGTTGTGAACAGCTCATTTGATTTGGCATCTGCTGATGGTTGAAGGGCCATGACGATGATATCTTCTTTCAACATAGAAATCAGGGGCAAATATTTTTGTTTAGATGGCTAAACCTAAAAGAAAAGAAAGGAGGACAAGAACTGAATGACAGGGCAGATGGCTTGCATGGGTACACAAGCCCAGCTGCCACCCTGCCCATTCTATGGTGTAAGCTGAAGCTGAACAGAGTGCCAAACACAACAAAAACACAAATTTCATCTGGGCATTCTATATGTACATCAGTAGTCATTGTATATAAGCAAAAGATGTCTTGCATAAAGGGCAACAACGACCCATTACATACGTTGGGTGCTCTCCTCATACCAAAAGAAACCATCACACAAACTAAAGAGATTCAGCAGCACTAGCATTAGTAACTCACAACATCTAGCAATATTCACATACCATCAGTAACTAAATAATACGCAAGCATACCAATTAGTTTGCACAAACCTTACCATGGCGCAGCGACGACACTACTGAAGCGCTGCTCGGTAGACATAGATGATTGCTTAAGTTGGCTTGCTTCTACTTTGAGTCTTGAATTCTCCATGGCATGGCTCATCTGCTGTGAAATAGCACGGTTCTTTATGCAACGGAAGAGATGGGCGTGTTGTTCAAGCTGGCGGACAACCATACTTAGCACACTAATTTCTGCACAGCGTTGTTGATCATCGATTTCTTCTTGAGCAATCTTCTTCTCCGAACGTTTCATCATATCCTGTATTTTGGACCAGCTGTTTTTTAAACTGAGCAGAGTTTCCAAACGAGATCGTAGGTGCCTGACATCGAAGCCGTCTGCTTCCAACACAGAAATGCACCTCATCTTATGTTCAAATACTGCATTATCGTCATGGACATTCAGCATGTTTATGCTTTCTGCTAAATTGGTGAAAGAGTACATCAAACCCAATGCTATCCCTTCACGAAACTCCGGAGGATGCTGCTGTAACTGATGAAAATTTGGTCGTTGTGGCACTTTACTAAATACTTCCATTGCCTCAATTTGTGCCCACATCGGGGAGGTCTTCACAAACGGAAGTTCAATAATAGCCAAGGATTCTGATGGCTGATCAACCATAATATTCTCATGCACATGAAGAAATTTCTGCATCAAGGGGCAGGAAGAGTTATGTGTTCTTGCTACATACTTGGATATTGGTGTATCCTGAGTGTTGTTTGAAACGATCAAGCTGTTACCAAGTTCAGCATCAATACATTGGCTCATATCAAAAGAACATAACTGAGTTATTGTCGAATCATCGATGGACTGGCTACTTTCAGCAACACATTCTGGTGACTCTACCATGGCTGAGCTGTGATACTGTTGTGAAACTCCAGATTGTTCATTAAGTGCAGACTCCCACGTTAAACTATGTGAAAGGACTGTTTTACCCTCGAGTGCAGCTAAAGATATGGTTGACAGTGGACCACCAACACTGGCATGCTGAGTTTCAGGAATAATACTGGCTAACTCCACCACATTTGCTCCATGATCCACATTGTCCATGCCATCTTGTTTGTTATCCTGACAATTCTCACTGACTGGTGACTGGTTCGGCACCCCATCATCAAACATAGCTGGAGACAAAAAAGACAAATTCTCTGTTGGAGTGTTCGTCACACACTCAACTATTGCTCCCAAGTTTTCCTTGCAAATGAGGTCATCATGCCTGGTAGCTTGACCACTCTTTGCTGAAGGAAATTGATCCATTCTAGTATCATCAGGCATAACCAAAATGCTCCGACAAAATTCTTCACCAGAGTCTTCATCCATACTTATTTCACACCCTTCAGATTTGGATATTTTCTTCTGGTTTTCAGTTGAAGAAACAGAAGATAACAAATTCACATCACCAGAATTATCTAATGTTGAAGTTGCATGCAGTACAAGGTTCTCATCTTGGCGAACATCGTTTATACCACTTTGGCTGATTTTATCAACAATGCTACTGTCTCGTGGACCTGAATCAGTATAAGGCATCAAAATATAGGCATTAGATGACTCGTTTTTCAGTAATGACTAATGAGCACAAGTACCTTTATTGTCTTCAAGTGGAGTTGGCTGATTTTTTTCTGAAGGAATTGCTGGACCAGCAATAACATTGGTAGGCAGTTCATTATGTTCATCTCTAAAAATCAGCTTGGTCTCTGCAACATTTTGTTAGTTAGCAACTTGCTTTGAGTTTTCTGTATCGTGGTTTAGTATAAACTTACGTTCTTCAGAGATTGCTGCAATGTCGTGGGTTCCCTCAATTGTTTCGTCAACTCTGTTTTTCTTCATCTGCATTTGAAGTGTAAAAGGTAATCAAGAAAAAAAGAGAATTCAGTGCTCAGCAGTAGAAGGTTTAGAAGAGTTAAACAGAACCTCCTGAATGTGAAAAGAACTGAGAGTTTCAGGATTCACCCCTAGTTCCTCAGGTGCTTGAAAAGAAACACATTCTTTTCTTTTTCTGGACACATCAATTCCAGCAAATGACACAAAGTTGAAGCTATTTGCAGCACTTGAAATCAGACAACAGCCTTCATCAGTTGATTGCTTTTCTTGATCAGTCGATGCCTTTGATCCTTCATTTCTGCTGAGATCTGGATGAGGTGATTGCATTACTAAAAGTGGATCCTGTGGGATAGGTCTTAGTTTCCCAAACACCCCAAACAGTGAAGCTTGCAGCCCTGCAGTTTGCGGCACAGAGGGCATGACATCCATCTGAGAAGATGGTAGTTCAATAGGACTACCTAGAATAAGTGAAGAAGTATATTTCAAATGACCAGATCCTGTCATTGATAACTGTAAAGGAAGTTTTATCTGAGATGCTAATGCCAGCACTGCATTTTGTTGCTTCATAGTTTCTTTAGGTCGTGGTACTACATCTGCAGTCTCCAACAATTTATCAGAGCTTGGTTTATCTCTGATTTCATCACTGTCATTACATGATGCCAAGTCAGCAGGAATTGGCTTTTTTCGAGAGGTTAATTGAGACCCTCTAATGACAAGCTTCTGAAATGGAAAAGGTATCACATTATATAGAGATGATTTTAATCCAAAAGGAGATCAAATATGGAGAAAAATAAACAGAGCAAATACCATAAAAACTGACAGTCTTTTCTTAATATGTTATTTGGTCTACAATCTTGAGTTAATATTATGTAAAACCATTATGTAAATCAGAGAAAGAGGGTAGACTAACTATAATTAAAGTAAATATACATATTTCAAATGCATGTCTAGGTATTTTGTGTTTCATGTGCATCAATATTTGCACAGGCATACAAATAACAATGCATACAGAGGATAACAGGATTATACTGCAACCAGTCCTGCAAACAGTGCACAAACAACTACATCTTGATGACATAACTACCTACAATTGTTATACGATGCACATAAAAGCTAGAACTTTAAGCATTCCATCATCATCGAAGTAAAACACACAGCAGAAGTATCTTTTTTTTTTAAAAAAAAAGCCAGAGAATATGTACCTTTGCCTTTGTATCCTTTTTCTTTGTCATGCAGCGCATCCATTTTCGACCATCCCATTCAAACTGTGGTCTCAGTTTTGTATTTTCAACTGTCAACTTATCCACGCCATCCACATTATCCATGCCCGTTGTGTAACTCTTCAGTTTAACAACATACATCTTGCCAAATACACCACTTGAAGTCTCCAAAATAATTCCAGGCCACCAGCTACCTTCATGAAAGACCTCTACATGAGAAGATGGAGAAAATCTGTATTTTGAGTCCATACGAATGATTGAGCGTGCTGGCCGAATATATTCAGTATCAACAATCTCCGTGACCAGCTCCCCATCATCTCCGACGTGTCTATACTGTACTAAGAAATTTGTAGAACCAATCACTTTCAAAATAGTAGCTGGATTCCAAGACTGGCCAAAGCTTTCCGCAGATCTACTCACTTCAACTAGGCTTCCCTCTCTGAATGCTGGACCTCCATTGTCCTGCACATAACAAAAGCATAGGAACATAGGATTAAGTATTGCAGCACACTGTAACACAAAAGGTTACCTGACCTTTTTCTATGATAAAAAAGTATTTTTTTTGTTTGTGATAATTCAACTCATTCACACAACCATCACCAGAGTTACATTAAAATAATGAAAATGAATTATCCACAGGAGGCATAGACAACCTATTCCGCATATTGATGGTGCCAAAGCTATGCCTTTACAATGTTGTCTGTTTACCTCAAAAAAAAAGCTTGTTTGTTTAGAAAGGCTTTATGTAACATGTAGATGCGCTAAATTCTGTGAAATTATCCACAAAAGTTATTTTAAGATCATGGAAAAATGGTGCTCAAACTTATACACTGATACATGAGCAATTGCAGATCTAAAACATCGTTGACTTGCATATGAAACTCTCAATCTTATAGTCCTCTCCAAACCCATCTCACTTGGGTCTATTGAGCCTAATGGCTAACAATTGTACCCATTATGATTCAAATTCCTAATAATAGCTGAATTAGCAACCATTTTACAAAGCAACCATAGCGACCTTGTTGACATTAGATGTTATGCAAGATTCCTCCTATGCTTCCATGTTTGATTGTCAAGACAGACTCATTGACATGTCAATTTGGCACACAGAAACGCATCGAAATATTTTATTTTTTTTAAAAAAAGAAAAACAATTATAAAATACTACAAACAAAAGAAGACGTACATATTTATTTATTATTTTTTTTTACCAAGAACAAAAAAATTGTTTACTAGAACTGGTTTCTTTTACTATATCTCATCTGATTTTATTTCCTAAATTATAAAATGTTACTTGATTAGTTGGGTAAGCTAACCATATTGTACAATTGTAAAATTGGAACATTGTAAGTGCAAAAAATAGCGTGGTATCTCCTTCTTGCTCCCAAGTACCAACCACTTCTACTTGAACAGCATGACATGTAGATTGTTAAGCTTTTGGCGTAATAACACAAAACGGACATAAACATTCAAACTCTTATTAAATTCTGCCACCCTATCTACTATCATCGTAAATTTTGCAAGTTACCCCGTGAACTTCTTAACATTTAAAAAAATATCAAATCCAAGATAACCACACAAAAATTAGATTAAGATGAATATTCCCTACAGCAAAAAGATGGGGACACATTAATACATTTTATAGATGGGGACACATTAATACATTTTATTTTATCCGTAACAAAGCACGGGCATTTAGGAAAAGCGCATGGCCTCTCCATTTTAGACTAAAAATTACACTATACCACCATCATGTTAAAAAAAATGAGTACTGCCCAAATCTGTAAAAGAAAAAAAAATGACTAGCCCTGAAACACAAGTTCGCACAGCTCAGCTTATTACCACATCAGCGGCCGGGACCCAGCTGCCGCGGCGGAACACGCGGTGCGGCCGCAGCGCCGCCTCCTCGAACTCCATCACCTCCCGCGACGTCGGGAACGCCACCGTGTACACCCTCCGGCGTGGGTCGACGGGGAGCACGTCCAGCGGCAGCGGCAGGCCGGTGACCACGCCCGACCACCACCCCTCGTTGTGGAACGCCTCCACCATGTCGTGCATCGCGAACCCACCGGCGCCCGGCGCGCCCGGCGCCCCCGCCACCGGCGGCGGCTGCGGGCGCACGTCGCGGGCGCGGGCCTCCTCCCGCAGCGCCGCGCCGCCCTCCTCCAGCGTGGTGTAGGCGACGACGTATCCGTCGCCACCCGGGAGGTGGGCCTCGACGGTGCCCTCGTAGAAGGAGCCGACGAAGCCCGGGTCGTCGCTGCCAACCTCCACCTCCGCGCCGACCGGGAACAGCAGCGCCTCATCCTCCTCCTCCTCCTTCACCTCCTTCCCGTCACCCTCCTCCTGATCCCCACGCGCCGCAGCCCGCGGCCGCTTTGCCAGCTTCTTCGACGGGCCGCGCCCCATGGCGGGGGGCCGACCCACCGGCGTTCGCGTGCGGTGTCCTCGGCTTCTCCGGCGAGAGAAAGAGCGAGAGTGTGTGTGTGAAGTGGGGTGGGGTGGCGGAGGCAACGATGGATGAGGGGATTAGCGGTGGGTGGAGCGGCACGAATTCCGAGGTGGGTGGGTGGATCGGACGGTGGAGGATGGAGAGAGAGGAAACGTGGAGGGACGGGATGAGGTCGCGGGGGTTGTGGGTGGAGGCGGGCTCGTGGCGCGAGGCGGCGGAGGCCGCGAGGGCCGTGGTCGTGGACTCGCGGTCGTGGAGTGTGAATGTGTGTGATGGGACGTGAGGTGGCAGTTGGTGGTAAGAGCAAGTTTAATAGTATAGCTAACTACTAGCTCCAATTTAATCTATAGTCAATGTAATAGCTCATTATACATACTATACTATTAATATCTGAATATCCGGTTTCAACTATCATACACACAATGCGTCTTAGAGTCTGTGCTATAGCTGACTACAAATCTGTAGCCCGTTGCTCTTCTCTCTTCTTATTTATCTCTTTAAAATATATTTGTATTGCTCTGAGGGTGGAGGAAGCGTCCAGGCGTGCAGCTGTAAAAAAATATTGATAGAACGGAGGAACCGTTCGATATTTTTCTTTAACGACTCATACAATGTGAAGTTAATATTGATAGAATATTGATATAGTAAAAAAATTACTATAAAATTAAAACTAATGAAGATAAAATAGCCATCAACCACGCCCCGACAACACTAATACTAGAGGATGCCCGGGAGAAGGCTAGCACCGGACCAGCCACCGCTAGACCAGTAAAGGAACTACTGATGAGGATGCCCGAAACCCAACCCTAACAACCGACACATAACTACACTCTATCCACATCTTTGGAATTGAGGGAGAGAGGGTGAGAGAGAAGAATGGAACCACTCTCCCCCTAGGCCCTCCGACGTGGCCAACTTGCGTAAACTAGGGCACCGACACAATAGAACCGGAATCTATAGCGAGCTTGCATAAGAAGATTAGGAGGTTTCGGTAAGGGGGTTTCCTGGATGACGTCTCCAAGGAGAGAAGCGATAAAAGCACCGCCACCGCCGTCTGTCGAGGTCTCAAAGGAGAACCGAGATAGGTTTTCACCCGACAACCCACTAGAGGAGATGGGACGGCATGACAACACCCTCAAGAGGGAAAGTGACACTCGAAAACACCGTTGTTGCGGGCCAGGTCAAGACCGGGCTAGGTTTTCACCCGCCACTTGCCTATGCGCATGTGATGCACCATTTCTCCACCACCATCAAACCTCCGTCATCACATGGGCACCACTGAACCAACGCCCGCTGCCCGTCCAGCCTTTGCGTGCTGTCCTGCGGGCACTCCCATCACACCATGCTGCCCTTCCCTGCCAGCAACTCCACCTATGCGTTGAGCTGGCCTCAGTAACCATCGGTCGTGCACCATGCCGGCCTTCGTCGTCAGCCGCACCTTTATGCTGACCGTCGCCCTTAGCCTCCTTGTCGCGACTGCCGCTTAGCCATCGGCGCCGGCCTCCCACACCATTGGTGCTATTGCGGCCGCCCCCCGTTCAGCCGCCGGCCTCCCTTCCGACGTCGTTCTTCCCGCACCACAACCGGACAGATCCATTGTGTAGGTGCCGGATCCGTGGCCTCCACCATCACCCTGCCGCCTCCACGTCCTCATTGCTGTCTCCACTCTACTGTACCCAGCCGCCACCGACTCGGGGTAGGAGGGTGGTCTCCTGCGCCGTGGAGGCTAGATCCGGCACCGCCGTCTCGCCGTCTCTATGTACAAGTCTCTATGTACTTGAAGAGGAGAGAATATTAAAGATATGTGCAAGTCTTTGTGTACTCTAGAGGCTAGAGTTTTAGAATTTTCTAAGCATGTTACTATATTTTTTCTTTAGGACGAAAGATCTTATTAAAATGACTAAAATCCATTTTTTCTACAATGATTTAATTTTTCTATTTTATAATCGGTGTGTTTGACTGGTATTTTTTAGCTATAGCTGCAACTACAATAATTAAGAATTGTTGCAACTAATTTTTAACCCCTCCGTCCCAAAAAGAGTCTAATCTATGCAGCAGCCGCATCAGCTATAGCTTGTATGGCTACCTAACAAAAGCCAATATTAGAGAATGGGGGATAATTTACTACTCCCTCTGTCCCAAAATATAAGAACCTAAGATTGGATGGGACAGTCCAGATTCGTAGTACTAGAAAATGTCACATTCGATAGGGCTCAAATGTCACTGTCTCAAATTTTGTGAGGCTGATATGTGGGCCCATATAACATTTGAGAGTAACAATTTGGAAGAGTGGCAAATACTTCTAGATTCTCCCTCAATCCGACAGACCGGACCCAGCGGCCAGCCACATCGCATAATCTCGTCGCGCACACGACACACCCCCGCTGCGCACCCACCCAAGGCGAAATTTCGCCGGCGCGCGGGCCCCACGATCATCGGCCCAACTCAGGAAGCGCAAGAAGAAGCAACCGGAGAGCCTCCTCCGGCGGCCATGGCCAGGGCCCTCCTCCTCCGGCGCGGCCACCCCTTCCTCCGCCGCCTCCTGCGGCCTCCCCCGCCTCCCACCTCCTCTGTACTGGTTCGTCGTCTCCAACCCTCTCGAGTCGCCCCCTCCCCCTCTTCCCCTTCCTTTTTTTGCAGCCCCCGATCAAAGGCGTCGAGCCGCGGGGATAGCGCTCTCACAACTGCAGGACGGACAGCTGGGCGCCCCCATGTCGGGCGTGCATGCGCGGCCATTATAGGCTCGTCGTTGGGGGCCATGGCCGCGTGGTCCGGAAGTTATCTCGCGTGCCTCGAGCCATCCGAAGCCAATCGATTCCTTTTCTTTTTCTTTCTTTTTTTTTTGTTGATTTCGTTGTATCCTTCTTAGATTTTGTGGATTTTCATTGTTGCTGGGTTAGTGGGTTTACAAAAGGGGGAAATCCCTTTGAGTTGAAAGCTGATGATGCATTGGTAAATATATGGGTATAACAAGTTTCTGAACCTGATGTGATGGATACTGGTGACGATGAGCATGCAGTGCCCACTACTTGAGGTCTTTTAAGGTTTTGATTGTCGTTATCCCCTAGAACTGCAAGCCCTTGGAGTTGTGTACCATTTACCATGTTGATTAAGGCAGCACGATTAATTACCTGTTTTTTTATCTGCATGGATTGGCTATAACAGCGGACAACTTAATCTAGCCCTGCTTGTTTTCTCCTAGTAGAACGGTGAAAGAATTTTTTATGACTCAACACAAAAATCAACATTCAGGCCATAATTATTGCCTTCTGTTTTGTTTTTGAAGGAATCCTGCAATAGAAATGTGTCACCAAGAGTTCAGTTGTGGAGATTCTCTGCAGAAGGTGCGTAAATGCCTAGTTCTTTCACTCTAATGCAGTGACATTGTGCTAGGTTGATGATACCTCCTTGCTGGAAATTTTTCCTCTTGTAATACTTATGTTTTCCATGGTACTTCTTTCTTACGACAGATTTACTTTTTTGTTTCTGGATTTGTCGTATGGTTATATCCTGTTAATTTCGTTGGAAAATCTTCATGGGAATCTAGCTGGCATGTGTACAGCATGCATGGGAAAGAAATATTTGTTTTATACTTATCAGTTATCATAATGGAAGTGTTATACAGTTTTAGCTAATTATCATTATAGGAAAATATTTTTCCAATTCAATAAGAATTCATGTGCTAACCTTTGTTTTTTATGTACAACACGAATCGTTGTTAGTGGTTCCCCTATTCTGGAAAATTTTACATGATTGCATCTTGAGTTTGTTTCCAGATTCCAGATAACTTGAAAATTCTATTCCAAAATAACAATACCGATCTCATTTGTCAAGTTTATTGGTGAATTTGTTCATTGTATATATATCCAGATTTACCACTGACTCTATATATGGTTTATTTTTTAGGGAAAGACCAGACAAATTCAAGTGAAGATGGTTACAGTGAGGCAAACATTAAGAAGAAGGACTTTGCGCTACAACAAGCTTTGGACCAAATTAAGTCTGCATTTGGTGAGGAGTCAATTATGTGGCTAAATCACTCTTACGGTCCTAAAGAAGTTCCTGTCATATCTACTGGATCCTTTGCATTGGACATGGCTTTAGGAATTGGTGGGCTCCCGAAGGTGAGTTAAGGGTATTAATTCTTTTGTTTAATAATTGTTATATTCTAGTATCCAGGATCACTGATGCATGCTCTATTTAGGACGAGTAAATGACTTTCTACTATTGAAAGTTTAATGAAACTTATTTTCTATTAAAAAGAGTAAATTGAATCAGAGCTCCCTGAATTTGTAGACTTGTCTCACCTAGCTCCCTGAGCTGACTTTTGTTTTCTAGGCTCTTTGAACTTAAACCCATTTGCATCACTGGTCATCTATTCCCCGTTTGCTAACAGAATAATCCGAGCCTAACAGCAAATGGATGCAAGTTTAGGGAGGCTAGCAAGCAAAATAAAACTGCTAGGTCAATTAACATTTAGGAAGTTCCAATGCAATTTAATCTTTTAAACATTACTGACCTGTTTATCGCCATAGCCAGCATGTCAGATAGAGTTGCCCTTTTTTTTTCTGATAGCTCTATTGCTCCATTATAACTGCTTCTGTAGGGTATAGGCGAACGTGTGTGTACTCAGGGTTTTCTACCCTTTCTTTTTCTTAATCAATGATACGCAGCTCTCCTGCATGTTTGAGAAATAAAACTGCTGTAGGGTTTGTTGGTATGATTTAGTAATTTCCTGGAAATCTGAAACTCACTTATGTTAAGAGATGTTTGTTAAATAATGCATAAACAGAAGATTAGTTAAAAGCATATGTACATTTTGGTTATATCATTCTACATCGTTGGTTAACTGATAAAATTCTAAGTGAATTTCCATTTAGCAAATTATATGATATTATTCTTCATAATTATCTTCTGCTATTTGTTCTTTTGCACTTCATTGACTTTTGCATTTATCAGTAGGGAAGGGTTGTTGAAATTTATGGTCCAGAGGCATCAGGAAAAACCACTTTAGCACTTCATATCATAGCTGAAGCACAGAAGAATGGAGGTAAATAATTGTTTGGGGTATACATCTGATCTCCTCTGTGAACTAGTTTCCATGACTAACAATGCAAAAAGTGAATTAAGATGCCAATATAGTAGTTTTGAGTTCTTAAAGCATGATTTTGTTCTTTATTTAGATGAAGCTAGTAAAATAAGTACTTTATGCCAATGATCAAGTTTTCAGTGCTAACCTCTATGCCTAACACCATGTACTTGAAAACTATAAGCAAAACGATGGACAGCATTAATAATCTAATTTTGATGGGTTCAGGTTGAGCTGTGAAGGGAAAAAAAGTCTAAGACTGCATTAGTAATGCAATATCTTAATAAATTAACTTACCTGTAAATTTGTACAGTGGCTGAGAAATTCTTTGATTTGATTTATCTGAGTCAGTCAACCATTTCAAGTCTGTCCTGGCCAGTGGCCTTGACAATGAGCTGTGAAAAGTGAAAGAAAGTGTGGACTGGCTATTTCAGCATGCAAATATAGGTACTTTACTTTGAACAATTAACATACAATTGGTATTTCCACTTTGTTGTCCACAAATAGGCTTTAGTTTCAGAAGTAAATGGTAAGAAAGTTAGGAGTACAATCTCTCGCTGCTAGAACAAAATATCATACTACTCAGTGGTGTAGACCAGTTTTCCCGTGAAAGCATGCTCCTTCAGATTTCAATATCTATGCAACCTGTTAGTAAAATAAATCCTTTTTTAAAAAAATTGATTTTGTTGTTTCAGGATATTGTGCTTTTATTGATGCCGAGCATGCCCTGGATCCAACATTAGCAGAATCTATAGGTGTTAAGGCAGAACACCTGTTATTATCTCAACCAGACTGTGGTGAACAGGCCCTTGGTCTTGCTGATATCTTAATCCGAAGTGGCTCTATTGATGTTGTGGTTGTGGACAGTGTACGTAGAAAGTTAGTACCTTATGCTATATTCACGCTTTGCTTTTGCCTTTCTGCCTCCTGGCTCTGAACTTCTGAAAAGATATCGATAATATTTTATCATATATGTGAGAATTCTATTTTAAAATGAATGCTTTATATGAATTGCTCCCTGAGCCTGATTTTAAAGATTTAGTGCTCCCTTTTTAGCATAGTCATTGTTAATCTACACTCTAGAATGTACTCTTTTTGGTCCTGCACACTGCATAATGTAACTAACTTACATAGCAGCTACTCCCTCCGTTTCATATTATATGTCGTTTTGACTTTTTTCCTAATCAAACTTTTTTAACTTTGATCAAGTTTATAGAAAAACATAGAAGCATTTTCAACCCAAAACAAACATAACATCAAAATATATTCAATGTTAGATTTAATAAAACTAATTTAGTGTTTTGGATGTTGCTAAATTTTTCTATAAACTTAGTCAAGCTTAACAAAGTTTGACTAGGTAAAAAGTCAAAACGACTTATAATATGAATCGGAGGAAGTATTACTGTTTTTTTTTGAGGAAAAGGAAGTATTATTGTTACATTTTGGTTACTACTAAGTATTGAGTATTGACACATGCAACATATTTATATCTTTATATGTACAGGTAGCAGCTCTTGTTCCAAAAACTGAACTGGATGGTGAGATGGGAGATGCCCATGTTGCACTTCAAGCAAGGCTTATGAGTCAAGCACTTCGCAAGTTGAGCCATTCTCTTTCTCGCTCCAGGACAATGTTGGTGTTTATTAATCAGGTTTGCCTTTTGTATAATTCATTGGGTAATGCTGGCCATCCAACAATATTTGTAGTGAAATTTTAAGTCCTTACGCAAAGTATAAATAGTCACTTCCTCCCATTAATTTATTTCAATATTTAAATAAATACCCAGCTGTTGGACATGTGACCTAGACCTCCAGAAAGTTGATGGCTGGGTCAGCCTTGATAACTCTAGTTCCAGCACTCCTAAAACACCACCCTATTATATTATTAAAAAACCAGAGTTTTGCTTTTTTATATAAAAAATTTTCCCATAGTCAAACGTGGGCTTCGGACATTTTTCAGGTTGACGGTTGTCACGAAATTATGTAATACTAGGTGAAACCCCGCACGTTACTGCAGGAGTTTGCAATGATAACAACAAAGAAAAATAATGTGTAAGATAGTTTAATCAACATAAGCTTACATAAACATAAGTTTACATAAGTTGTTGTGATTTAAATTTAAATTGTATTTAGAATGATGATTCAAATGTAAAAGTAAAATGATGTGGCTTTATGAGAGATCAAAAGAAGGAAGATAATTTAGACCATACATCTAAGGGCTAAAAAAATTACTTCCTCCGTTTCACAATGTAAGTCATTATAGCATTTCGCACATTCATATTAATGGTAATGAATCTAAGATAGATATATATGTCTAGATTCATTAACATCAATATGAATGTGGGAAATGCTAGAATGACTTACATTGTGAAACGGAGGGAGTAAGATGATATGGTTTAATGAGAGAAGAAAAGAGAGATAATTTGAACCATAGATTAAGCATCTAAGGATTAAAAACAATTGATGTGATATGACTTAATGAGAGAGAAAAATAATATGAACTAAGTGAGGATGAATTATATAGGTATATAGGATATTATAAAAGAAATGATGGAGAGATATATTTAACTATTATGTGAATTATGTGGGATGATGATTTAACCTGCTTACATTTTAAATCTCTAAAATTTAATAGATTATTGAATTATAGATAATATAGCATGCTTCCATGATGTTTAAATGTAACAATTATTAGTGGATGATGATGTGGCATCTTTGTATGTTAAGCTTTAGGAATTAGTGAGCTATAACTTTATAGTAAGAGAGGATATATTAACTCTATAATGAAGAACAAAGACACGGAACTCAAACTATCCTCCAACCATGTATGCAAACTAAGACAGGAAATAGTTTAGTGGAGTTGTTTCCTTGTACAATATGACGTTTTTTTGGGTGCGTTTGCAGGGTGTATTATGGGTTAGTATTATGTCCAGTATTGTAATTCTAACCAAGCCTAATCACTTAGTTCAAAAGAACTTTTGATGTTTATTTAGAGGTAACAGAGTGATCATTTCTGGGTATGTGTACAGGTAAGATCGAAATTAAGCACATTTAGTGGATTCGGAGCACCAGCAGAAGTAACCTGTGGAGGGAATGCCTTAAAGTTCTATGCTTCTGTCCGCTTGAACACCAAAAGGATTGGTCTTATAAAAAAGTCAGAAGAGGTAACACAATCGTATCAATAATATTTGCTTTCTATGTAGTGTCCCATTTTGCCAAAAAGGTAACACAAAAATAAATATTGAATTTAGTAATAATAGGTTTTGTAATTTCGTAGATGTTTCATGTTCAGTTCTTGTTTCATTATATAACCCCGATCCAGTTTCAATCCAACAGGTTGTAGGCACACAAATTCAGGTCAAGATTGTCAAGAACAAGCATGCACCCCCATTTAAGACTGTACACCTTGAGCTTGAGTTTGGTAAGGGCCTGAGTCGTGAATTGGAGATTATTGAAGTAGGCTTCAAACACAAGTTCATAACAAAATCAGGAGTATTCTATCACTTGAACGGGCAAAATTTCCATGGAAAGGATGCTCTTAAATGTTATCTCGCTGAAAACAAGAATGTCCTGGAATCTCTGATGTCAATGATAAAGGAAAGCATAATGCAACAGGAGTCCCATCCAGATAGAAACATGGAGGATGCCAACCCAGATACGAGCATAACAGAAGAGTTCGTTTCAGCAACAGATGAACAAGTACCTGAAGAGGTTGAGGCCTGAAGCAATATAGCAGTATCCTTTTTCTTTTTCTTTTTCTTTTTCCTGCAAGACTAGTGTACATATGCCACGTTTCATCTCTTCTTAACTTGCAAGGTTTCTAGCTAAGCTGTGCGACAATAACCAAGTAAGGATAAAATGTAAATAACTTTTCACCATTTTGCTGTGTACATGCCATTGTACATATTTATCCACCTTAGGCTGTGTTTAGTTCAGCGCAAAGTTTGGATTTTGGTTGAAATTGGAGATGATGTGACTGAAAAGTTATGTGTGTATGACAGGTTGATGTGATGGAAAATGACTGAATTTTGGATCCAAACTTTGGATCTAAACACAGCCTTAGTTTGAGAAACAGCAAATTTATCAAACTTCCCTGAATCCTGATTATAATTCTCAGGTCTCCAGTTTTGGATGCCTGGATTGGTTTTACACGTTTCCTCCGTGCTTGATACTATCCTTGTGCTCCTTTAGCATTAGCGTGAATGATTTAATGTTGTATTTTTACTACTACCTTTTGTTAAAATTAGTTAATTAAGGCCTAATGGCATGAGCAATGTATGTCATATGTCAGATAGAGAGGCTAAGTGCTTCTTTCTTATTAGAGTATGCCCAAAGAGATACATGATACTATTTCCAATCATGAGATATTGGAGATTTCAAGAAAAAAAAAGAGAGACTACACAACGGTATACCGTTGAACGGTATACCACTTATCCCCCATGCCGCGGCCCCACGTGCCGGCTTCTCCCGAGTATGTCGCGTGCTGCTAGGATTATCATCACGCACGTTTGCTGTGTGTATCACTGTATAGTCTTGTTCCTGATAGCTAGCTAGTACCTAGCATGCCTAAGTCCTGCCTTTGGTACTAGCCTAGCTAGTAAATAAAACCGGAGGTACTACTAGCTTGCTATGCATGCCAAATCCCTGTAATAGCTACTAGTAGTCCCGTACCCTAGCTATGTAGGGTACTTATTATGGCAGAGCCTAGTAGCTGTGGACCCCTGTTTTTATAACAGGAATCAATTGTGTAAACAGTGCCATTTCCCTGGATCAAGTAGTCTGGTACACATGAGTTCATAGCTGAAATACCAAATGCACATACACGAAAGTCTAGTGCGAATTATTACATCAAAAGCCCGTAGGCATAGTCTTAAATCATCGGACCGAGCGGTCCGGAATACATTCCAAAAACAGAAGTAGATAAGGCAGCGGAGTTAAGGCAGCGACACGCCATTGCCACAGGCAACGACCGTAACTAAGACCTACTGAGCGCCATCGTCTTCATCACCCTCCTGGTAATAGGCATAGGGATCCTCCGAAGCTTCATCTCCGGCCTCTGATTAAGTTTATATTTGCAAGGGTGAGTACCAACCGTACTCAACAAGCCACCACAGCAACAATGCACATGACAGGGGTATTCAAAGGATGGCTATGGTTCTTTTGCGCAAAGCAAGTTTTATAATTCTTTTTCACAACCCTAAGACCTAGCACAGACTGATCAAATTTTAGTACCAGTGTTCATATTAAACAATGACGGTTCTGTCCACCATCCATTGTGATCCCAAGGATAGCTTCCCGCCATCGAGTCATCATGGTTTTCTGAGGACGTCCACGTTCCCGCCCCTCAGGAAGTGGCTCCATCAGTATAGAAATCATCATGCAATATCCCATCCCACACAAGTTAAGAATTTAGAGTTTAGCCAAGTGTAATACATGTCCCGGTGCTCAATAACCGCGAGCACGACTATTCGAATAGATTTGGTTTACTCACACTGCAGTGGATGTACACTTTACCCGCACTCCGCGACTGCCCAACACATGAGCCTCGTCTCAACACATGAGACGTGTCACGGCAAAGCTTTTCGATAACCTCGCATTGGCAGTACCCGTTCCATGAACTTTACATCCTCATGCACTCTAGGTGTACACGGTTTCTAGCAGTGAGAGGAGTTCTGATGCACCCGGGAAGGAAAGACTCACACATGCATTAAGTTATAATTATGTTTAAATTCTCACATGGCAGTCCTACCGACGGCGACACCACTGTAGACACCCGCCTCGCGGTTCTACCAATGGCTGCCCCACCGTAGAGCCCCTGCCTCACACATCAAGAAACCACTATGCATGGATACTGCCTCCGCTCAGCTATCTATTCCACTAGGTCTATACCCATACGAAAAGTGCGGTTGTACGGGGGTCGTTTCATGCTTAACTTCATGGCTCGGTCCTTAATTGACCGGGGACGGTACTAGCCTTTTCCGGATACCACCCAAATCCTCCGTCCGCCCCAGTCGAAAACAGTTGTTTAATTTTATTTCTCCTTTCACAAATCATGTCATCAACATCATGGCAATGTGGCGCTCATGTCTCCACATGCCGCAGCTCAATTACCTTCCCAAAGGTAATTGCCTAAGCATTTAGCATTTGATAAATATGAGTATGCATGATTCTAGAGTAGCATTTCTAAGCATTTGTCATACTTGACTAGGGACTCCTACGTAATCATGGTTACAAGGGAATAAGGGTAAACAATAATCAAGGTATGGTATATTCACAAATAGGATGTTCATCATTGCATGCAATCTTATTTGTAAATAAAAATAATTTCGCAATTGGGATCAACATGTTCAAAGAATAGTGATGACTTGCCTTGCTCAAAGTCTTGCGGGTCTTGACCTTCGCTTGGATCCGCAACTCTCTCGGGCTCTATAGTTACGTGCGAAAATTGATTTGAATTCGGTTAGAATTCAAATAAAAATCCAAATAAATCCAAATGGAAGTCGAATGCGAGAGTCGATTCTTTTATATTAACTTTACTATCCACGAACTAGGGCAAACTGTCACGCCCTGAAGTTCCCCTTTCCAGCTTTAAAATTTGTTAAATAAATCACCTAAAGAAATTGTTGAATTAACCTAGAGCTAATCCTCAACTAATAAATGCATTTAATAATCAAATTCGGCGTGGTGGAATTTTTCTTGAGTTCCCCATGCTCCAATACATTAACAAGACTTTTAGTGGAATTTTCAGAGTCTTGGAAATAATTTTAACCAATTAAAATAAGCAAAGTACAATATTAAATCCCAAGGAAAATCTTTTCCTCCTTTTCGTTTTCTTTTCCCTCCTTTTCCTCTTCTTGGGCCGCCGGCCCATTCTCTTTTTCCCTCCCCCTCTTCCCGCTGGGCCGGCCGCGGGCCGAGGCCCAGTCAGGCCGGCCGCCTCCTCTCTCTCCCCGGGACGCCGACAGGTGGGCCCCACCTGTCGGGGTTGTCCCCTTCCTCCGGCCGCCGCCCCCACGTCGCCACCAGCGCCGAAACCGCCGCCGCGCCCACGTCCCGCCCCCTCCGGGCCACGTCGGCCGCCCCGGTCGTGTGCCGCGTCTCCCGCACCCACTTCCCCCTCTCTCCCGCTCGCGCCTGCGCCCGAGATGGTCGGGATTCGAATTTTGAATCCCGCCTCTCTCTCCTCCCCCACTCCCCATGTCGGCCGGCTAATCCCGCCCCTACCGGCCACGTCCGAGTTCCCCCTCGCCTATTTAAGCTCCACCGCCACCCCCTCTCTCTTTTTCCCCATCTCGCCGAACTCTCTCGTGCCCTCCATCGCTCCCGCGCCGTGCACCCATCCGCCGCCGCCGCTCCCGCTACTCCGGCCGCCGCTAGCCGCCGCTAGGCTCGCCGCCACATCGCGCCGTCGCCACCGTCGGGTTTGCGTGGCCAAGGTCCACCCCGTCCGCACCTCCTCCGTCGAGGTCCGTCGCCGGAGCCCGCATCCCCTCGCACTCCGGTGAGCACCACCTCTACCGCTGCCTTCGGCCATGGGTTCCGCTCGCCGTGGTCCACCCCTCTCCCTCTAATCTCTCTCCTTGCCTCTCTTAGGGCATCTCGGAGCTCGTCCGCCCGCCGCCGTTGTCCTCCTGTGGCTCGCCGTCGCCGTTCGCCGTCGTCCTCCTCCGCGCCGGCCACTCTCGGTGAGGCATCCCCCTCCTCTTTTCCCCTCCCTCTCCCTCCTAGCCGCGTCGGGTCGAGCCGCCGCCCCGGTCGTGCGCCAGCGCCTTTGCGCCGCCGTCTCCCGCCGCCGGTTGCCGTCGCCGGCGACGCGCGCGCGCCGCCGCCTTTGCCATGGCCGGCCGGCCGGCTTTGTGCCGAGCCGAGCCGAGCCAGGTCGCCGCTGCACCGTCCGATCAGTCCCGGGCCGATCCGGGCCGTCGATCTCGTGGACCGGCGGTGGACCACCCGCGTGGTCCCGGTCCACGGTAGACCGGCCACCCCGTGCTTCACTGACATGTGGGTCCTGCCTGTCGGCGCCGACCCCCCTTTGATGACGTCAGCCCTGGGACTTATTACGCAATAAATGATTTAAGGACTTTTGTTATAGTAATAAACACAGAGAATCTTCTAAATATCATAACTAATTCATCCGAGCTCCGTTTAAGCCCGTTCAAGTCTCAGTAAATTCATAAAAATGTATAGAATCCATTAAAAATGGTTTTGTTTCCTGTTTCAGTAGTCTTATAGCATGTTTTGCTTGTGTGCTTTGTTTGTCGCGTAGATTTCAGCCGTTTCGTCGATCCACGGTTTCTTGAAGACGTTGCTGTGGTCTCATCAGTGCGAGAGCAAGGCAAGCCATGCATTACAATTGATCATATTGTACCCAATTTACAAATGTCCCGCGTTTCCATTAAATGTTGCATTCTTTTACAATATCATGTGGGATGGGTCCTACTACTCAGCCATGTATTGTTTATCTTATGCCATTGATAACTGGGGTACTAAAATGATTAGATGTTGGTTCAGGGAATGCTTAGCCATGCTTAGTTCAACTAGTACACAAATGGGGAACCACATTAATACATAGACTTTGATTATTGGTATAGCTTTGGATTAATGCCACCGTAATGGTGTTAGTTAATTAAAACACACTACATGGTGGGCTGTGGGTGCATGGTTTTGCTAGTTGTGCCCATGGCGATTAAGGACCGGTTCGCAGGATGCCCTGGAAGAACTTATCGTACTTACCACAAGCCAGCGTGGGCAACGGCTGGGCTTGTAGTGTAGCTTTCCTCTAGCCGACGTACCCAGGCAAGGGTGAGCGTGATGGAGTTGGGTCGGCCGGGGTGTCCGGTTGATCGGCTTCCAGATTCACCGTGGCACGAGAGGGGACTGCCCGCTGCCTTGCGAGGAGTGGGGGTGAAACCTGAGGTGTGGTGCGATTGGTTAGAGGGGGTTATGCGAAGGGTCATGTCA